GGCGGGAGAAGGATGGGTAATCTCCTCCCATGCAATTAACTCCCTACAGATGGAGGTGGTTTTTACACAATAAAACAGTTACAACAGAAAGATAGCACAATTCCCTGTGGACTGTGCTACCAAGCATGGTACAGAGTAAATAGTAAACTTAAGTAATAAACAATATTTAATAGTAAATAGTAAATGTAAAATTGTAATTCAATTACTGTTGAGTCTGTAGGAAAGAGAATGAACCGCCCCCAAGGCTGTGATTTTTACAGAAAGATGTTGCCGTATCTTTGTCCCAGGTTCTTAGTCACTGCACCCCATCCACCTTGGTTAGTTTGATGACTGTTTACGGAGTCCCTGAGGATGGACCAAGTGCATTTTAAGACCAGCCTGTCTACCAGTCATTGTGTTTTGACCACCCCTTCCCAGAGGCTTGCTTTCCAAGGCAGATATATGGAATCAAAATTGACATTGTACCTATTCACAGAGCTGTGTGAATCTGTTTATAATGCACCCTCTGATTCATAGGCCAGGTGGAAAGGCAAATCCCCAGGAGAGGGATGGGCCTGTTGGAAGATTTATTTAAAATAGAGATGCCAAGAGGAAGGGGTGAGGCATGTGGAGGGTGTGGCCAGGTGGCACCAGTCCTGTTGTACGCTTGTCGTGTTTGCCAGTGACGCACTTGAGTTGAATTTTAGCCCAAATTCCGATTATGTAAAAAACAAGAAAACCCTTTTTGTTGGCAGAACTTTAAAAAAAACACACAACCTTTGTTTGTGAATGGTTATCACCAGTAAAGTAAATATTTGACCAGGATAGCTAAACCAAATATATTCAAGTTGAAGATTTCAGGCCGTTTTTTTTTTTTTTCAGGCCGCTTTTTGAAGACTTTGTGCTGATTTTTCTTTTCAGCGATCAAAGGAAATGGAGCTGAGTGGTGAATGCTAGCCTACCGCTCCCAAGTGTGGGCTTTCTGTGTTGTAAGGAAGCCCCAGGGTAGAAAGGACGAACTGGACAGCAAGAGGAGGGGGAGTCTCTCTGGAATTTTGTGGGTGAATTTAGCAGTCATTTTTAAATGATTTTGATTTGGGTTTTTAATGCATTGCATGGCTTCCATCCCATTTACAGATGGGAAAATGGAGCCTGTAAAAGGATTGAACAGATGACCCAAAGCTAGTCTTAGCTGTCACAGCCAGACTTTGCCAGGTTTTTCTGTCTGGAAGTTACGTCCTGGGGACTCGAAGGTGATTGAAGGTTGTAGTTGAAGGAGTTCCACCAGTCTCAAGTAGACAAAAAGGAGCATCTTTTTTGTGGTCTTACCTTGCTTTTTGTTCCAGTTTTCTCATCTTTTAGGGACCTTCTAATGTGGTCCCTTTCAGAGCAGTCAGCGAAGCCGACCAGGTCTCAGGCTCTTAGAGGCTGGCGTTGGGTCATTAGGCCTTTGAACTCTTAGTCGTCTTTGCTTCTCTTATACAGTAGAACCTTGATAATGTAATTACTGGTCTAAGAATATAAACATCTCTCAGAGTTGCCATGATTACATTTCTTTTTAGGAAGTTGTTTAGAGAGCCTTTAAGTAGTGAGTGACACACATCACTGGCCTTCATTACCTGTTTGATAGGAAGGGCTTGTTGTTGCATTAGTGTTTCAGCTGGTCTACCAGAACATGAATTTTTACTGGGTTTGAGCGCAAATGGTTCAAGATGTGAGGTGAAAAATCAGTGGCTTTAGACTTGGAGCAGTACTTTTCTGGGGAGGTCTTTCTTGTTGAGGAGAATTAGATAATCTTTGCCAGCAGCCACCTCTTTGTGTGTGCATGCGCCTTTGAGAGAAATCTGCTGAAAACAATAGACTCACTCCTTAGAAATGCACTTACGTACACAGTTCTGCATTTTATATTTCAGAAGCTGCTGGATCCTCTGAAGTTGGGCCTTGAATCCCAAGTTCAAAATTCTTACTCAAGAAAGGTTAGTGGGTGCGTCTGGCAAATTGGAGCTTGGGATTTTGCCTGGTGGTTGGGCATTCCTGAACACACTGGATTTAACGGGTTGTGCCAAGCTGAGGGGCAGGCAGAAAGCCAGCCTCCAATCTGAGGCTTTTGTTGACTTGGCATCTGAAGTCAAGAGTGCGATTGTGCAGTGCCTGGTTGGCATTGGTGGAGCCCTTCTGAAAGATGACGCCTTGAGTTGTTTTTTAAACAAGCATCGACAGTAATACTGTGACTAGTTTTTGGCAAATGCCAACTAATCTTGAATTTCTCAAATTTAAGTACACCTCCCCCGAGGCACACTTACTCTTCTTGTTCTTTTTTGTTGGGCTGGTAACCACGAAGATTGGTGCATCTGTTTGTGTGTTCCTGGAGTCGAGAGAAGACCAGCGAGAAGAGATGTGGGTTTTCAGAGGGTCACCGCTCTCTCAGGCAGATGATGCTGAGAGATGTGAACCCCTTGCTTTTTATTAGCAGAAAATCAAAGCTTACAGTAAAACATGATCTCATAGGGTGGGTAAGTGTTTAAATGTACGAAATATGTCTCATAGGTAAAATAGGAAACAGAGCATAGATAGGCATGAACAGTTTTCAAGAAAACATCTTTGTATTCATGAACAAGGCACTGCAATCTCAACAACCTTGTCAAGAACTTGAGAAAATAGTCTTTGTTTAGCAGATAACTTCCCGATTCCTTTCATAGTGGTTCATGCTCCAGGAAGTCTGAGGCTGCTTTCAGTCCCATCCATTCTCAGTATTGTTTGCCTGTGTTCAGGCATTGGAGCCAAGGCCTTCTGCATGCATTCCAGAGCCTCCAGTAACCCTGTGTGTTCCAGACTCGACACGCGTCCAGTCTTCCAGACATCTGGGAGGAAGAGGAGCATAAAGGCTGAAGGCCTCGGAAAGCGACCCTCTAGGACAAAAGAGGAGAGGCAGCCACACGGTTCTCCCACAGAGTCACCGGGGTGTCCAGTTACTGGCCACGTGCCGAGCATTTTAATGCCTGTGCCACTAGGGCTTCCAGTGGCATGTCCTTGCGTGTGGGTCAGTGCTATTTGTCAGGATGCCCACGTGATGGGTTGCCTTACCAAACCCCCTCTTCTAGATCCTGGTCAGCCTTTTCTCTTCAAACAGTTATTTTTATGGTGTAAATTTTTGGGATGTATTTACAGAACCACACCCATCAGAACAGATTGTTTCTTTTGATAGTTTCCTGTTTTTAGCCTTGGTGTTTTTTTTTCCCTGTTGGTCTGAGCATACTTATTACAATAAATGTTCTTCCAAGGTGAAACATTAAGTGACAGAATGATCTTTTTTACCCCTTTCCCTCCTTTTGATGCTAATTTTGAGCTGTAGATGTTTTAGTTATGTGAAAACTCATGGTTTTCTTTTCCTAGTGTTTCTGCCCTTTGCCCCATTTTATTTGATAATAATTTTCCCCCTCCCAAAGTTTCAGTTATTTGTGGTTAAATATCAGATGTTAGGTTGTGTGCTTTGCGTCTCTGCAATGTTTTAATAAGCTCTTCTGCCCTTAGTAACTCTTACTCTCCACAAACACCTGGCCGCTTTAAGATGATGGTGTTTATCATCTTGGGGGTAGCCGTGGTGGTTCTGTGGTAGCAGTATTCTCAGTCTCCAAGCAAGACACCTGGATTTGATTCCCAGCTTGCATTTTGCTGTGATACTGAACAATTTCAGTACAATTTTCAGACTAAGACTAGGAAGAATGACCTGACAGGGCACTGTCCAGGAAATCAGCTGGTGAAAACCATTGTGGAGGTGCTGCGACTGGAGTTGGCAGCTGGCAACAACTACAATCCTTTGTAGGAATCAGATGGAATCTTCATGCCTTCACTCCCATGTACAAGGATGTGATGGGCACATAGTTGTCAGTCTGTCTGTCTCCCACCCTGTGGCTCTTGTCCTGCAGGCTCTCTTCTCCCCTGGTGTCCCTGCCTCTGGCCTCTGCTTAACAACCTCAGCTGTGTGATCTCAGAAAAACCCTCATTGCCATCAACTCGGAACCAGCTTGTAGTTCGCCCTGTTTCTCCTTCTGACATGCTGGTGTGTGTAGTCAACCACTTGCCTTTGAATTGACAGCACAACTCCCTACTCTGTAGACCACCAGAGCTCAACTGTCTGACAGCATCATTGTTAAGTTTGAACAAAGGAGGCCAAAGAGAAGAATGAAGAATTCAGAATTCAAATGCTGACAGCCTTGCCTGCTGCTGATAAGAAGAGCTAAGGGCCTTGCCTGTCTTGTTTGGCTGAGATAGCATGTGGATTGTGAATCAGAGTGGAATGTCCCTCCCTAAAGACTGTTTATGAAAGTCCTCCCCACTAAGGAACTCACCCGGGAGCTCCCCCGTCCCCTCTTTAATAAAGCTGCATCAAGCTTTCTCTCCTCCTCTCTGATTTCTTCCTTACGTCTGCTAATTTAACAGTCACGAGTTAGCAGTAGCTTTGGGATGTTATGTCTACAAGACCAAGTACCAGGTGAGCTCTGGTGGCCTAGTGGCAGGAAACTGCACTGCAATCCCGGAGGTTCGTGGTTCAAATCCACCAGATGCTCGAAGGAGGAGGAACAATCGCCTCCTGTACCAGTCAGATCCAATTTGATGGTACCCACATAAAATAAATAAATAAATTTATTTTTTTTAAAAAAAAAAAAGAAGACCAAGTACCAGCCCTCTTTTCCCTACTCTTTGGCTTCTTGGCCCTCACCACCACTGGGCACGCATTCCCCCAGTAGCACTGGTCAGACTGTATTGTAAATATTTATGTATTTGCTCCCCTTGTTTTTTTTTTTATTCTTTTTTTTTTATTCTTATTAAATTTTATTAGTTTCATGCTCCCCTTGTTTTGACTCCCAGGTCTTAGTCCTCTCTTATTTTCTAACCCATTGCTGGACAGGTGGCAGGTACATGACCAATATTTAATGAGTCACTGGACATGAACCCTGGGTGAATTCCTTCTCATTCTCCTCTCCTTGACAGCTCGGTAGCCTTTCTCCTTGACAGACACGATGCTTTCCAAAGTGGCCCGATCACAGACCGTGTCTCTGCTTCGCCGGGGGCTTCATTCTTCAGCGCCTTCTGCTGTTTCTGTTGCCACCAAAAAAACAGTCCAAGGCCCTCCATCCTCTGACTACATTTTTGAACGGGAATCTAAGTATGGTGCACACAACTACCACCCTCTGCCTGTAGCCCTGGAGAAAGGAAAAGGTACGTTTCAGACCAATCTAGGTTTTCCTATAAGGTTTCCCCCAATGCACTTAACCTCTACATCGCAGGCAGAGTTAATCTGAGATTCTTTGAGCGTCTTGTGTTGTGGTAGGTGCTGTGGGGCTTATAAAGATGAACTCAGGATGGTGCTTGGCTGTGATGATTCTTCCCACTAGGGAGTAGAAGATGTACAAGTGTTACCCGCTGATTGTGTCACCCCAGGATTTGTGCCGAAATCCTAATTTCCATGCTTGTGGTTATAATCCCACTGGGGAGTAGGTTTTCTCTTTATTAAGTCTAGAGGATCATTATAGTGTGTTCCTGAGTTAGGCTTTCAGGAGTGAGAAGAGGTGTCAGGTCACATGGTCCAGGAAAAGATACTCAAGAGCCACGGACTTCCTCCAGAACCAGCAGCTTCAGCTCGTCATGGGGTTTGATGTAACCTGCTAAACTCCACTGTGAGAGGTTGAATTTCTGCTTGTGAAAGCTGCCCGCTTAGGATTGTTTCTGTTACAGGGGTGTCATCTTGCTCTTTTTTTTTTAGAACTCTGTTTTAGCATAATTTTAGACTTTTGAACAAGTTGTAAGAGTAGTACATAAATCTTAAAGAGAAAATATCTGATGAAGTCTTGAAACCAAGCACTAATAGTTTACCAATGAAGGATGACCCTTCCTGGGGGTGGGTGGGTGGGGTGGGGGGCCTGGAAATCCAGGGATAACTTAGAGTTGACCCTTGAACAAGGAGGATTAGAACTGAAGGCTCAGATATCAAGCACCTGCTTACAACACCATGTGACACTAATCACTGATAATCTCAGTTGATGTCACATGTTTTTCTTATGTTAAAAGATTACTTAAGTGGGCCCTGCAGCTCCAACCCTTGCTGGTCAAGATCAGTTGCACAATGTCTTAAGTTCTGTGCTTTCTGGTTGCTGATAATAGTCCTGTTGTTGGGCCTCTTAGATCCTGTGAACAAGAGATCAAGCCTTTGCTCTGTCCTCAGGGTCCAGGGTCTCTGTCATACCTAAGCCTACTGGCTGTCACTGCTGTTAATAGGATTAGCACATTATTGTAAGGCAAGAGAACAGAAGTGAGCAAACAGAAACAGCAGTACAGAGGGTCTGTCTGCTCCACTCCTTACCAGATTTCCCAGATCCTGACACTCCACACTCTCCACACTATATGCGTGTGTACACATATTTTTTTTATCTGTCGAAGAGTTACTTGCAGAAATGAAGCCTCTTTATCTCAAAGTATTTCATATGTGTTTCCTAAAACACGAGAATATTCTTTGACAAGACCTAATGTGATTGATTATCAAACCCAGGAAATTAGTTTTGTGGGCTTTTTTTTTAGGAAGTTTTGAGAAATACTAAGCAGCTTTGGTGAAGTCTGCAGGGAGGAGTGGCCCTGCTAACCTGTGCTCCTTACATCTGGCTGTTCAAATCCACCATCTGCTCCACAAGATAGAGGCTATCTCTTCCCCTACAGTTTACAGCCCAGGAAATCCATGGTCCATGGTCAGCCATGAGTGTGTTCTGACCCGATGACGATGGATTTCTTTTGAGGTGATACCCTGATTATTTACAAGTGTTTATTGGGTGTCTCTGTGTATACATATACGTATACGTATACATATACATACTTTAGCCAAATGAAACAAAACTTCATTAATTGTCTTTGAGCCAGATGAAGAAAGCATAAGGGTATTAAATATTTTATCTGCTTGGATATTATTTGGAATCAGTACTGTAACACAAATGTATCTGAACAAATGAAAATCTGCATGTATATATTAGACATTTGAGAACAAGGGATTTGCAGAAATATCCTCCTGTGTAGGCATCTCCAGGTAGCCTGGTGTCCCAGCTGCAGGCTCCAGACTTGGCCTAATTCTGCAGTCATCTCTATCTTCATAAGCCAGTGGCGTGTGGCCCTTTTGATAACCTAAGGCAGTGATTGTGTGCAGTATGTGGGAGAGGTTAGGTGTTAGGCTCAATTAACCTTTACAGACAACTTTTCATGATCTGTCTGTTCTGTCTGCCTTTGCATTTCGATTTTGGTTGTTGAAGGTCAAAGTTTGCTTTTAGAGTTTCTTTCCTTCCTGTTGTGTCTGTGGAATGTGTGTGTATTTTATAGGCTGACAGATAAGATAGCATTCCTTACAAAGCCCAGTTTATCTTGTTTGCTGGAATAACCCTTCATCACACTTCTGTGCTAAATGGAGATTGTGTGCTGGCATTCAGAGGGCTTCTGGCAGGTTCGGTTTCAGACTGCAGCAGTGTCCTGAAATTCTCCTTCCCTTCTCAGGGATTTACGTGTGGGATGTGGAAGGAAGGAAGTACTTTGATTTCCTGAGCGCTTACAGTGCTGTCAACCAGGGTCACTGCCACCCGAAGATCGTAGACGCCATGAAGCAGCAGGCAGAGAAGCTGACCTTAACCTCCAGGGCTTTCTACAATGATGTGCTTGGAGAATATGAAGAGTACATCACTAAGCTTTTCAATTACCACAAAGTGCTGCCCATGAATACAGGTGAAAGCTCCCTCCTTTTAAATGAAAAAAAAAAAACAAAAAACCAACAAAAAAAAACCAACCAAAAAAACCCAGTACAAAAGGTTGTTCGAATACCTAGGAGAATCATGTCATTTTCTGATCATTTAAAAACATTTCCTAACTCTGAATTTTCCGCCTTTCTGGTAGGTGTGGAGGCCGGAGAGACAGCCTGCAAACTCGCTCGGAAATGGGCTTACACGGTCAAGGGCGTGCCCAAGTACAAAGCAAAGATCATTTTTGCAGGTATGTGAGGCCAAGTGTTAACTGCTGTCACCAAAGCACACGTTGTCATTTACAGACTTAAGTTTCTCACGAAACACCTCTAATGTGTCTGCCTCTGTGTAGTACTTTATTTGCAGAATTAAAAATGAAGGAGACTTCTGTCATCTTGGATATTCCCTTCGTCTATGGAGGTTTCGTCACCCAAACAGCTTCTCTTTGTCCCCTTCCCTAATAGGAGAAACTGGGTGGCTTAATTTCTCATTCTCTGCTCACCTCATATCCCATGCCACCCACCCGAGAGCAGCTTCCCACTTAAGTAGATGCCTGACTTTAGTGGAAGGTTTGTTAGCAAAGGGCTGTGTTAGGTTGGAGGGGCCCTGCGTAAAGGTAGTCTCAGTATTTAGGTATCCTTAGAAGCTTCTGGGGTCAGGGGGTCCGAGATTGCCTCACCCCACTTGGAAGAATGGTTGAGGGTGGCGAGACTGCTGCGTGGGGAGAGCCGGGAGTGGGCTTGATGTAGTGCACCTTTTGGAATCTTGGTGGGGGTGTTCAAGTGAAAGATTCTGGCTTGGTTTTAAAGGTTTGGCTTTAATTTTTATAAAAGATGATGAGTTGTTTGTCATTATACGTGGTTGAAATTCATTTTTGTCCTTATTTAAAATCTTGACACGATTTAAAATCTTGACATAATAGGAGAATCCTTGTGCGGGGCACACAGTTCAGTGTGCTTGCTGCTAACTGGAAGGTTGACAGTTCAAGTCCTGCCAGAGTAGCTGAGAAAGGCCTGGTGGTCACTGAGGAGTCAGCCCCTGCAAGTCTGGCTCCCGTGGATGACCGTTGTCGTTGGACACAAGGATCACCACGGCCACTGCTGGTGTGTTCCCTGCTGTTAGTGCAACCAACAGCTGTTAGTCCAGCTGGCGGCAGGAGGAATTGGTGTCTGGGGGTGACAGTCCTGTTTTCCAACAGGAAAGGGCCATTGTGCGACTCTGCACCGCCATTTTAAAACTTAGTCTTAGATAGTCTTGATTGGTGCGTGCCATTAAGTCAGAACCAAACCGTAGCTGACCCTCTAGTGGGTTTTCTGTCTGTTGCTGGAGTTTAGTGGGAAGACCTTATCCCACTTCTGATGTTTGCTGCCACCTGGTGGGGGCCTGTGTAACTGCACAAATCCATGAATCCAAAGAAACAGGCCTCATTCCACCCTGTATCCCCCCAAACTTCACAGCCTCTGAGGCCACTAACAGTATCAACATTCACATTCTGCTACTGAAAACATAATTTTTGCAACAAAATAACTATCTCTTTTTTATTTTTTACAATTACTGTGTGCCTTTGAGTTGTCTGACTCATAGCCACCCCATGCACAAGGTCTCTGCCCTGCCCTATCCTGATGCAGTCCTGAAAAGGCTGACCCATCTGGAATGTCCTCTGCTGTAAGCTCCCCGAGGGACGTCCCATGGACCAAGAGAACAGACAGAGCTGTCCTGTAGAAGGTGCAACCAAATTGTTCCATAGAGGCAAGGATTTTGAAGCTCCATCTGATACTTTGGGCATGCTTGGAGAAGGACATCATGCATGCAGGGATGGAGGGGCAGCACAAGAGAGGAAGACCTTGGAGGAGATGGGTGGACACACAGTAACAGTGGCTATAGGGGTAGGTGTGTCAGAAAGAGTGAAATTGGCTCAGGATAGGACAGGGTTGAGAGCTGTTGTACAAAGGGTTGCTATGAGTCACAGGCAAAACTAGACAGCACATAACGACAACAGTCTCCTAAACTGTGAGACTAAATTTCTCTTCACTGGCATTGTCCACGAGGTAACTGAGGCAGTGCAGAGTATGTGAGGTGGGAAGGAAACTCAGCAGGGTCGACTGGAGTGTCCTGTGTGGTGTCAGGGAAGGAGGCCACGTGAGTGTTTAGGGCTCCCCAGGGGGTTGTCTCAAAATCTATTTATTTCTACTTTTTTAAAAAAAATTTATTTTATTAATTTTAGTGAACATACATTTACAGAGATTTTTGATTTCCATTCATTCATTGTTGCATATTTCTACTTTTTGAAATTAAAAATATGGTACTTTTATTGAGAGGCAAAGCGTTTGCACAGTGGGGACCAGAGGTTTCAAGCGGGTTCTGAGCCAGGTAATCCAAGGAAGAGAGTTCGGAGAGCTTATGTGCAAAGACCCACGGAAACTCAGTGAAGAGTCAGCAGCTGATGCAGATGGAGGGAAGGTTATGAGGAACTTGGGGAAAATTTGCTGCCTGACTCACATTTAAGTAATGGCTACAAAGTTGAGGGCTGTCCTGGAATGCTGGTAGGTGGCAGGAAGTTCTGTAATTCCGAAACTCATTTTATGTGAACGTCTGTGTTGAATTGTTTTGGATCACTTGACTTCTGAAGCAATAAGCAAAATTATAAGAAGATGAAATGAGGCTGTTCCCTGACATTGTTTACCAAGGAATTTTCTCAGGGTCGAGTGGAGAGTTCAGGAATGACAGGCTGTTGTGCTAAGTGCCTTCAAGCTCAGTAAAACTCATAGCAACCAACAGACCTGAGTCCTGTCCTGTCCTGTGCCGTCCTTATCATCTCTGACACACTTGAGCCCACTGCCACACACTGTGGTAAGGCCCTCTCACTGGAGGGTCTGCTTTTTCATTAACCCTCCACTTTTCCAAGCATGACAACATTTCTCAGGGAATAGCCTTTCTCAACATGTCCAGCTTATGTGATATTTACCATCCTTGCCTCTAGGGAGTGCTCTCGTTACTTTCTCTAAGACATACCTGTTTGTAATTCCAAGTGGAGTTCTAGCCTTAGACTACTGAAGAGCTTCTACCTTGTCTTGGGAGCCCTAAATCACATTGGGGTGTTCTTACTCCTTGAAGGTTTTTCTCGTGAAATAAGTTTGTCTAGAGATACAGCTTGACTTCTTCCTCAGTCATTTCTAAACTCTGGTTTTCTTGATCAAGAACAGCTTTAAGCCTAACACCAGGTTGATAGTCCACAGAGTTCTCTGCAGCCCAGACACCTTGGAGAGTGTGAACAATGACTTCATCAAATGAGCAAATAACCGAGAATGAGTGGGAAAGAGAGAGGATTAGGTAAAAAGCAAAAACTATCAAAAACTACAGTAACAATTAAGAAATCAGTCTTCTCTTAGCACATTAGAGATAGGAGAGTGTAGAAGTGACACAGGAACAAATACAATCCAGTCATACACTGAAGTGTCATGCAAGTGGCCGCCTCGGAAAGTGAAGAGCATTTCGTAGACTGACTGACCTGCAATATTGGATTTTTAAGAAGAAAGCTTATCACTTCTCTCTAAATATTCTCTTTCTCTTAACATTTATTATTGCAAATGGACCCATTCTAAAGCCTCTCTGGTTAGGGTCTGGTTCTGAGGGAGGGGGGGTTGGGATGATTGGAAGACAGATGCCTCTCTGTGGGGATCTCTGGTGGTCAAGGCGGGGAGCAGAGCACACAGAATACGGATTACAGTGCACATCACGGTCTTTGTGTCCACAAGTGAAAGCTCTAAAGTGAACCCTTGGTTTTTCATGTTAATTCAGACTTCCAAAGATGTTTCTGGGGGACCCTAAACCAAACCCAGCTGGGGACCAACTACTCACTGCTGTCAGGTTCATGCCACCTCCTGGCACCTCTTTTGTGTTTCTGAACTTGTGAATCTTAATAGGAAGAGACAGTCCCTCTTTCCCCTGAGGTTCGGCTGCTGGATTTGACCTGTTCACTTTTCAGTTAGCAGCCACACGTGTTAACACGCCACGCCTCCAGGACTCCTTTTGGGGAAGAGCCTTACTCAGCGTGGGAATTTGAGCTAACCAGCATGCACTGCTCTTTTTCAGCTGGAAACTTCTGGGGTAGAACAATGTCTGCCATCTCCAGTTCCACAGACCCAACCAGCTACGATGGATTCGGACCCTTCATGCCGGGTTTTGAAATCATCCCCTACAATGACCTGCCTGCCCTCGAGGTAACGTGGGCCTTGCTTGGTGTATGGTGTGTGTGCGTGCCCTCGAATCCATTCTGAGACACGGACCCGAGAGGACAGGGTAGGCTGCCCCTTGGGGTTTCCTTGGCTGAAGCCCCTAGGCCTTTCCTGCAGATCCACTTGTACATTCAGATCATGACCTTCTGCTCAGCAGTTAAACACCTGCCATTGTGCTGTCATAAACAGAAATTAGACTTGTTGAATATATGAAGTAAAAATATATTACAAGCCTGCACAGTGAAGTTTGATCATCCTTAAATTAGGTCAGGGTGTCAAGCTTACTTTCTATGCTGGCCAGCTGATTTCTGGCACAAAGGTTGATCTTTAACCCAGTTTAGATCTGTATATTTCATGAACTTGGATGTTCTTTACTAGATGAAACTAGTTTTAGCGTAGAGCGTTGAACTTCTAGCCCAGAGCTATGTGTTTCTGGCCCATCGGCCTCTCTGAGGGAGGAAAGGCTGTCTCCTTCCATGAACTCATTGGAAACCTTGTCCCGTGGAGCTGCTAGGAGATGGAATCAACTTGGCAGTTGTTAAGTGCCGTCGAGTGGTAGACAACTCATAGCAACCCTGTGAACAAAAGGCCTGAGCACTGTTCATAGAGTTTCCGGAGGCAAGCCATTTTGGAAGTGGAGGCCAATCCTGCCTCCAAGCTTGTTTTGACTTGGCAGTGGGTTTTAAAATCATGAAATAGAGGAGACTTTGGTAAAAGAGAAAGATTCATTTGAAACAGATTTCGAGCAGAGCTGTAGAATTTATATACAATGACTTTAACTATTTGTTAGGCATTTTAAAACAGAGTACCTCAAATACCATAGTATTTGGGGCATCTGGTAACTGAACGTCAGTCAGAAGCGCTGTTTGTGGAGTTGAGCTGCCGTGTGAGCTCAGGTTGTGGGTCTGCCAGGCTGTGCCTGCATCCTGACTGCCCACAGCTGATTGAAGACAAAGTTGCCCAGCACTTGACCTTAAAAACCACTGTCCTCACAATGAGTGGAACTAGTCTCAATGTGGTTACAGTGTCTACTCATAAAAACGAGAAAATGATATGCTTTAAAAAAAGACCCAAACGGAAGGAAGTTAGTGGGACACGTTGCATGGTCTTAATTTTTTTTTTTAAATAATTTTTATTTAATGTGTGTACTGTCAAATTGGATCTGACTGGTACAGGAGGCGATTGTTCCTCCTCCTTCAGCAGAGCATCTGGTGGATTTGAACTGCGCACTTTTGGGATTGCAGTGCAGTTTCCTGGCACTAGGCCACCAGATGGTGGGCAGTCAGGATGCAGCTCGCCATGCATGGTCTTAAATTTTTGATGTGAGGATGTGCACAGGCTGTGATTTGGGGCTGGGTATTGCCATGTACTCACTTCGTTTACCTCCTGTCTTTTCCTGCAGCGTGCTCTCCAGGACCCCAGTGTGGCCGCATTCATGGTGGAGCCCATCCAGGGCGAAGCGGGCGTCGTCATCCCGGACCAGGGCTACCTCCAGGGCGTGCGGGAACTCTGCACCCAGCACCAGGTCTGGTGGCTCAGGGGTGGTGGGAGGAGGGCCGAGTGTGTCCAGTAGAGGGAGCCCTCGTTCCAGCAGTGTCAGCACAGATACTCAGCACTGGCCTGTCCCCGGCTCTGGGCAGAGATGTGGGCCTCTTGACCCTGCCTGGGTGTCACTCATCTGTCCTCTGATCCTCCCCTGTTATAGCCTCCTGCTCCAAATGTCACCTCTTCACCCGCCTCCTTCCCCCTACCCTAGCCAGTGTCATCCTCATTGGTAGAGGGTCACTTGTGACATGTGACAGTGGCCTGACGACCGCCCCCCAGGGTTCCCAGCCTGTCACCTTTATAGGAGCACGTTGCTGCTTCCTTCCAGCAGAGCAGCACCTGGTGGGTTCGAACCGTCTGCCTTTGGATAGCATTTAACCCCTGTGCCCCTGGGCCTGCAGAAGGATAGGGCTGCCTGTCCACTCACACAGTAACTCTTTATAAACACTTGTGTGCTGTGGAACATTGTTGTTTTTGAGTCCTGTCGAGTCAGAACTGACCCATAGCTGACCCTCCGGCGGGTTTTCAGAGGTAGTTAATTATACGGGAGAACATTGCCCATCCTTCTCCCGCGGAGCGGCTGGTGGATTCGAACTGTGTGCTTTCAGGACTACAGCGCAGCTTCTTATCTCTAGGCCCCCAGAGCTCCCGAGTTGTGGAATAAACGAATTGTTCCCAGAGGGTGGTGACAGGCAGTCGCTGGGGTGTGAACGAGAGCTGTGCCAGTCTGTTTGTCAGCGGGATTTGTCTGTGGGTTGGAAGAAGGGCACGCCTCCTGTTTAACTTCAGTGCACGGAAGGGTCCTGAGGTCCAGCGATTAAAGCACTGAGCTCGTAGCGGAAAGGTCAGTGGGTGAGTCTTACAAGCCGCCCGTGGGGGAGAATACGAGGCTAGCTGCTTTTAGCCTCGGAAGCCACTGCCCTGGAGGCTCACTGCGAGGATTCTTGCTGACAGCAGAGGTTCGGGGTTGGTTAGTGTAAGACCAGGAGGCTTTTCAGTGCTTTCAAAGCTGCATGTGCAGTAAGGGAAGATAGTTGTGACGAAGAACTTGTTCTTTTTTTTTTCTATAATTATATTTTATTAATTTTCATAAACATTTACAGAGATTTTGGGCTTCCACTCATTCATTGTTGCACTATTCTCTCTACCCTCCTCCCAGTTTGTTCTTGTCCAAATGCCACAGTGCTTGTCAAAGCCAGTTCTGATTAATCTTCTTTGTCAGTGTATCCTTTGCCATTCCCTATCACTCCTCCCTGAGAGAGACTTCACCCTGAGTCATAAGGAAAAGGGGATGGCGTATTCTCTTAGCTACTTCCTGCTGAAAAGGGACGCTGTGGGTTTCAGGGTGAAGATCTTCTCTCACTACTCTAAAGGGCCCCTTTGGCAGTAGGAAACACATAGACTATTATGGAGATTGAGAAGAACTTGTTCTGAGTGGGCGTGGGTGAGCTCAGTCATTGCAAAGTGAGGAACATTCACTTAGCATCACAGGGCACCTGTGAGCGGAAGATGCGCATGCCCCCAGCGCTCTGCATGTCGAGCAGTGGGCACCGTCTGAGGAGCCGGGCCTGACCTGACAGCCCGAGTCCTCCGTGTGGCCGTAGGATGTCCACATGCTAGCGTGTAGAGCAGGTCCAGTTTTGGGCAGTGAGTGGGGAGAAGGGACGTCCTGTGGGAACGAGGGGATCAATGCGCGGTGCTGTCTCCCCGCAGGTTCTCTTCATCGCTGATGAAGTCCAGACAGGCTTGGCCAGAACTGGCCGGTGGCTGGCTGTCGATTATGAAGACGTGAGGCCTGATGTGATTCTGCTTGGCAAGGCCCTCTCCGGGGGCTTGTACCCTGTAAGTTTGAGGGTCCGCCCTCTCCACTCTCCTTTTCCATGTATGTTTGCACCAATTGGTGGAGACCCCCGTGCCTTCCCAGACACTTGGCACTGTCACCAGACCAAAGCTTTGCATGGTGTCCCTCCACTGGGCTTCTGAGGCTATCAGTCAGGTCCCTGAGACTGCCCACTTTTCTTCATTTGGGCTAGTGGGTCAATCTTTTACACTAAAACTAGTCTCACCCAGTAGAGAACACCCAAGTTCACTGTCATGAAGGATATAGATCTAAACAGAAAGATCAAACTTTGTACCAGAAATCCACTGATCAGCATAAAATGTAAGCTTGATACCTTGATCTAATTTAAGGATGATGAAACTTCACTGCATGGGCTCCTAGTAGATTTTGTCTTCATATATTCAACGATTCTAACTTATTTTTATTTATCAACTTAAATTTTTTGTTGGTCTGCATACAATTGTTCATATACGTTGTTTCTTTCATGTTCATTGTATTTTATACTTTCTATACATTGTGCTTTATATACTTTATATACTTTATGTACTTTTTTTTATACTTTATGTACTTTATATACTTAATTATTATTGACCTATACATTGTATATGTATTGTATCTATACAATCATTCATATAGTTGCTTAATTCATGGATACTGTGTTTTTAACAAGTCTAACTTCTGTTTACTACAGCACAACCATAAATGCTCAATTGGAACTGCCCACCTTTCCCTTAGCAGTCTGACGCGTTATATCTAGTTCCCCGGGGTATTTATTGGTGATGGTGACATAAGTGGGTGACCCACTTGATTTTGATGACTGAGCAGTGTGTGTTGTGTGTCATTGTGAGGCCATTCTGTGTGAGAGGGAATGTTCTTTCATAGACCTCTGTCCTCCCTCAGTGTTCAGAAATGTGGCCTTCAAGAGTTTTTAAAACCGTGGCTGGAGAACAGTCATTGGAAGTTTGTTCTTTGGGTTTGCTGTTTGGAGCCAGTGGTTGGAAATCATTAAAGGATTCTGAAGTTACATTTTTGCTGAAAGACTTAGGAACTGGGCGAAGTGTGTGCGGACCATTGTTTTTCCAGCCGTTGGGGCATTTTGCCTCCACGGCAGGGAGGACTGGGCGCTGGGGTAGCGCTGAGGCCTCGTTCGTCCTTGGATCCTGCAGGCCCGTTGTCTGTGCCATCGCAGGACGCTGGCCCACTTGCTGTGACTGGGGCTTTGGCTGGTGCTGCAGACACCGCTATCTCACGTCCAGTCTCACGTCCCTCGGTGCTGCTGGGCCTCCTGAGGGCACTGAGCGGTCAGGGGAGGCCGTTGCCGAGTGTCATCTCGTCTTCCCCCAGGTCTCCGCCGTGCTGTGTGACGATGAGGTCATGCTCTCCATCAAACCCGGGGAGCACGGCTCCACCTATGGCGGGAACCCCCTCGGCTGCCGCGTGGCCATCGCAGCCCTTGAGGTAAACACCCCCAACCTCCCAGGAACGTTGAGGTGGTGCGATGAGAAATGTGGCGAGCATGCCCCCTGTCAGAAAGGGAGACACCCGAGGACTGGGAGGGGAGGGCCACCCTCAACACGCCGTAGGCCACGGCAGCATTGGGTGCCTTTGAGTTGAGAGATCTCAGTGACAGGCTTGAAACACGCCGTGGGGTTTTCTTCAGAAGCACATACCCAAGTCTTTTCTTCCATAGTGCCATTGAGTGAGCTCGAACTGCCAGCCTCAGTGGCTGCGTGCTTAACCACCCATGCCACCTGGGTTCCTTGACCGGAGAAGACAGTGCTTCCTCCTTGGGTTCTGTTCTCAGGCCTCGGAGCCAGTGTGCTGCGACCCCGGCAGAGATTCCCTCACTGAGAGCCACCAGTCAGCCCTGGCCTTCCCCTGCCTCCCCACCCACAGTTTTTGAAAGCTTTTATTAACATTATCTCCTCAGTGATTACCAGGAGTATGAAACTGCTACCATAGACTCTGAGGGTAGGTTTTCAAGGAAAGGAAAATTTAAAAGAATTTTCGTACAGTTTAATAATTTAGTTCATTGATTTATTCACCTGGGAAGATAATACGTCCACTATGCTGAGCACATTTGAGGGCTCGTGTTAGTGACTCTGGTCTGATCAACAGATACTCTGCTTCTCGTCCATGTGACCCTTCAAAAGCAACAGAAGTGCCAGTGTTATAATGTGTGTAATTTCTATTTTTGAAACAGGTCTTGGAGGAGGAGAATCTGACTGAAAACGCGTATAGAATGGGTGTCCTCTTGAGACGTGAACTCATGAAGCTGCCTTCTGATGTGGTTACTGCCGTCCGAGGAAAAGGGTTACTGAATGCCATCGTCAT